AAATAGTGCAATGGCTTGCCGTTACTTTTTGAACTGCGAATGTTAAGGTTACCCCATCCCTCTTCTCAGAAGTTCCTCCACCCACTGGTAAAACCGTTGACCCCTGAAGCGCAGCTCCTTGACTGCTGACTAACCGATGAAAGAATTAGAAAAAGAAAAGCAATATTAAGGAGAAAAAATAAAAGAAGAGGAATCAAGAAGAAAGCAGATAACGATTGACATTGGATTTAAATTTTTGAAGATCAAACTTGACTAGAAAGTAAGAAGCCGGAAGAAAGTTCCACATGCGAGAAGTGCGGGGGGAAAAGAAACTGTTAGAATAGAACTTACGGATTACATCTAGCCATTTGTTGCCTTAGTTAACAGCAGACTGAAGGTCTTTTTAAGATCAGCTGCCAATTTGAATTTATCGAACAGCTCAAACTTACTATTAAGACGTAAGTAAATAGTTGTGTCATCAGCATAGATACCGAGTTGAGAGCAGATGTCATCATGAAATTAGGAACAACCTATGTCGAAGGATAGCGCCCTGGGGAACACTTGCATTAATGCAAAGAGATCTAGAAGAGTGGCCGTTCAAGACAACGTTCATTTCGCAATTCTGTTATTAACTGCGGCATGACATGGCTTGTTAATTTTAAAGTATCCAACGCAAAATTTCTGTCATTTAATTGTCTCAGAGACCTCCCCACACTTTTTTTTTCGCTCCATCGGCATATCTAATTCTAACCTCCAGAAGATTGACTCTTCACAACTTCTCGGGCTAACATTTCTTTCTGACATAAAGTAGAAAGATTATATTGAATCAATTGCTAGTTTCTGCTAAGAAAGTTTGGTTTTCATTGTGTTGTGCGTGACGATTTTTCTCTCAGAATGTATATATATATATATATATATATATATATATATATATATATATGTCTACGCATTGAATATTGCTATCACATCTGGTCTGGTGCTTCTGCTATGTAATTTGAGATTCTTGTTGAAATGCACATCTTTGTTGTTATCACAACGGTTCGGACGTTATAGCCTACGGCCTTCATTGGGTTATCTGTCTGGGTAACGTACAGGAACTTCCGAATTAAACTCTTTAATCTACGGGGGTAGACTGTTCTCTTTCCACTGCCTACGTCTAGAGATATTCTTATTTTTAGTACTACTCAGTAATTGTGTGTCCAATCAGATTATTATTATTATTATTATTATTATTATTATTATTATTATTATTGAGCGATACGCGGTAAGCGCTGCCTAAAATGCCTCCTCAGTGTTGTCTCATGGGATCGTCAAAAGTTTCGGGCCTTCTGGACAACTCTCCCATTGGGCCCAGCCATGAAGCAATCCCGTCTAGCATTCTGGTTACTTTACGTATCGAGTTCTGCATGTGGCCTCCGTGAATGAGTTTATGGAGTAGTAGCTGTATTTTCTATCAATCATCAAATTAAGATGTTTTCATGCTGGTGTTTGTTTTAATCAATGAGGAGCTAAGGTTTAATTTGTCTCTCATTGTTGGTGTTATTATTAAATTTACTTAGTTGTGATTCTACATGCATTCGGGGTTTGCTCATTTGTTTATTATTCCAACCACCCGAAAACAATTGTCGAGCAGATCTTACCATAGGTATCTGACAATTCTCTCAATGAAACCATCTTCAACGAAGTCAAAAATGATTATGAAACAGTCCTAAAAGATAGTTGATTTTCGGTAACACTCATATACACACTACACATAGCAAAAAAAAAACGCCAAGAGAAAAAGAAACATCATATGGTTCAAACAAGCGTACAACAAAAACGTTAAAACAAACGTAGAAAAAATATTCATTAAACTCGTCCACAAACACTTTCTCCCATTAAGCACTTCCCATAAGGTATTCACTAGAAACACAGTAAAAAATCATCTGCAGTTGCCCCGATGCATGGTAAAAATAATAAAAAGTACAACAGAAAAACAATCAAAAGCATCCACTCAACCCAAACCGACATGTAACTGCAGAGGAAATCATGAATGTCCCTTAAACTGCAGTTGCTTGCAAAGTAATATAATATACCACGCCAGTGTAGAAACAGCAGATAACGAAGAAAAATTATACACAGGAGGAAATGAAGGACCCTAGAAACAGAGAAACCACACACAAAAAACATGATTTCTCAATTGTAGCAAATACGTAGCCAGCACAAGCATTACTAAACAAATATGGGAACTTAAAAACAAAGTAAACTAAAAATAACACGGAAAATAAGGAAAATAGCACCAGCCTACAACAATAAATTCCAAAACCGCAGACTTTGTCTGGAGGAGGAAATAGCTATAATCGCCTTCCCAAACCAACAAACATTACTAAATAAACGATCAGAATTTACCTCAAAATGCAGACACAAACACAATGTTTTACTACGATACTTAAAAATCAAAAACTATAAACGAATACCTTGTAAAATAACACCAAAAAAATGCAAATATATGCACGATATACAATGCAGATAGTGTAACATACTTTAGACAATGACAATACTTAATGTAAATAAATATATAAGATAACCTCCTAAAAGAAAAATGTAAAATAATTAAAAAAATAATTAATAAATAAAGTAAATAAGTAAGAAACAAATTACCGTATTTGATGGCATATAATACGCACGTGTGTATAAGACGCACTCCAATTTCAGCAGGGCAAATCAAGAAAAAATTAGCAATTAGTAAAATTATTAGTAAATGGTACAATCTAGACTATATTTATGTGGTCTTATTTTGTTTAAACAAGCCATGATTAGAATTAAACGAAAAATAATAAGAAAAAAAGAACACGAGCCTATAAAAACTTTATTATATCCAAAGGTAAAAAAACAAAATAAAAATCAAGCAATTATTACAATTGAGCAAAACAGTAAAGTTACCATTAAAATTTTATTCATCTTCAAATTCATAAAATTCGTCATCTTTGTTAACAAAACTCAGATAGTCATTTTCAATAATACTATCATCGTCGTTAAATAATGCGTCATGTAATTTCGTCCGGCTATGGTGAATTTTAAAACTACATATGGCATATAAGACGCAGGGGAATTTTAAAAGATATTCTTAGTAAAAAAATGTGCGCCTTTAATGCCGTCAAATACGGTAATGAACTACAGATAACCACAACTAAGTAATTTTAACAATAATAATCAACAATAATTGATTTATAAATAAATAAAAAAATACCCGATGTAATCAATAATTAATAATTAGTTAAAAGTTAGCAAATAACAATAGCTACATATAAACGTTTTTTCAACCAGAATTATTTCTACCGAATAGCCTATAGAATCATTTTAAATATAACCATTACATCCTAACTAATAAGCGTTAACATAGTTCAACGGTATTGCCTAACCTAGCAACACATAATATGTCATTGACTAGTATTAAATAGTCCAGCCACCACACAACACTTTAAGATTGTGTTCAAGCATAAAACAGAGGGGTGCTACATGGCGTTCACACATACATACATACATACATATAGAAATTATTAGGAGGATTTGAGATAATCGTAATTAAGTAATTCATCGAGTCTAGAAGAATCCTAAAACAGAATGCAAAAAGCACTGGACGGCCGTTTCGTCCTATTTTTGGGACTCATCAGCAGTGCGCATTCAATACCGAGAATTGAAACCCGGACCGTTACCAACTGTACCGACGGGCCTCGGTGACGAAGAGGTAATTAGACTCGATATAGCGCCGCTCTTTACAAATTTCGTGGTGTAACTCATCCGAGTTTTCTTTATCCTTTATCCATATATATATATATATATATATATATATATATAGCCAGAAGATTGTGCACAAACACAAAATAGACTGTCGCTTCTCGGTGTTGATCTCATTGTCCACTTTTGTATTTACATACGCTCTATTACTGAGCAATTTTCCACATAACTATAAAAATATATATATATATATATATATATATATATATATATATATATATATATGATTAAAATAAACTAATAAAACTAAAGTTTCAGATTCACTATTTAATAAATAGATATAAAAGTTACGTCTAAATCAATTAAGAAGTGCCAACTGTAATAACGCTTGAAGTAATATATATGTATACACACACACACACACACACACATATATATATATATATATATATATATATATATATATATATATATATGATGTCACAAATGGCACCAAGCAAGGTTGTGTCATGGCCCCAGTCCTTTTTGCCCTTTTCTTCTCGGTGATGCTGAAATATGCATTTGCAGACACGGAGAGTGGCGTCAAGTTTCCGTTTCGAACAACTGGTGGTCTCTTCAATCATCAGCGCTTCAAAGCCAAGACCCCCCCCCACTTCGTACGCATATTATTCGTGATTTGTTGCTTGCTGATGATGCGGCTCTTGTAGCGACATCCTTTGAGGACAATAAACCAATCACCAGAACAATTAGCGTGAAAAGGAAGCTGTATCACGGCGGTGGGAAAATTACTGAAGCCGAGATGCCACGTCAGGACCCATGATATTGCAGATTCCTTGGATTTTATCAATAATCTCTAAATAACATGATCATCAAACCCTATGTGGCAGCAATATTCCAAGCATGAACGAATGGTAGAGTTATAGCTATGTAAGATAGATTCAGGCGACACAGTGAACCAATTTTTCTAGCAGCAGGCCTAACAAATGATTCAATATGTTCGACATATATGAACGTAATCACTCGGAAAAAAAACAAGACAGCTTGAAAGTAATGGAGTAACTGAGAGAGAAAGTCTGAAGAAGGATGAAGAAGAGGAATTAGTGATTGATTTTTTTTTCTCGAGTAAATATATCGATAAGTGTTTGAATACGTATCAAATCAAGGCGGGTTGAGTTACTGACAAATATGTTGGGTTTCATTGATTCTGCTATTGTTACTCGGGTTGCCCTGCCTTAGCTTCTCAAAAGAACTTCAACTATAGAGGCAAATTCGGTACCCGACATGAAATCCTCCAACAAGGGGTA